TACAGGTACAGCACCGAGCTGCAACTGCTGCCTCTCCACAGATCCACACAGTACCTTCCAGAAGGACTTTACATAGAAGTTACTTCCGTACTCTTAAAGTGTTGCACTGACACGTTCATTAATGATTCGGATAGGGTCCCATACCCTTTTGAATGGTCCCTGGTGCTTTCCTTGTCTGTGGGGGCTGGAAAACAACTGATAAATCTGGAGAACTGTGATCCGCTGAAAGCTTTAAATGCTCCTGCTACAGACACAAAGGCAGCCACAGCGTGCCCCAAACTAGTATGAAAATCCTTCAAGAGCAGCTACTTGATATTTTTCACAAGTTTAACACACACTGTAGTCCCGAGGTTACAGTTAGTGTTTTGGCTAAACGTATGCATTCATATACCAAAGAAGTCCCTTAGGAACAAATCTAGAATGATGACTCTATTATCCAAAATCAAAAAGGGTGACATCTTGTTCTTACTTAAACTGCATTACTACTACTTCATTTGCATTATATATTAGAAAAAAAAAAAACAAAAAAACCAAAACCCTCACAAAACAAAAAAAATCCCCAAACCCCACTACCTCAGTGCATATTTGCTTTCCATTCATCAGCCAATATAACTTATCTTCTACAAAACCTGTTCCTGATTTAAAGAAAGAAGTGTGATGTAAGATCAGTTGTTTCCTTAACTATTACCCCAGGAGGTGTCCGAGTAGTGCCACTGGTGTAAGGCAGTATATGCATCATGTATCCACTCGTAACCTGCTCAGCTAAACCTCAGTTTGCAATTCAACGTTGTGCAGCTTCTTGCTAAAAATCTTACAATTACATCCCTATTTGAGTGACTACTAGGCTATTAATGTTCAGCAATAAACATGAAACTAGACAATTTATTACGATTTGGCACTGAATGTCAATCAATTCAACCAAAAAGAATCTATTTAAAAAATAATAAAAAATGAATAATAACTAAGCTTAACGTGCTTGCTGCTTATCCGAAAAGTCTATCTGATAATATTGAGTTAGTCAGCAAGGTGGATTTAGGACAATGTATTTGGACTTCAACAGCATTATGAGATCCCAATGCAGACCAATAATTGTGAGACAAAATTCAGCTAACAGAGAATGCCCCACAGTATTTTTAAATCCGTACGTGGATTAGATGAGACTGTATTGCAGAAAGCACTGTACATGTTGCTGTAGCCACTCAGTTCAGTGACTATCAATAAGGATCAAAACAAGGGGCTCTTTGAGGCTACAGAGATGACCAGGACACAAATTTAGTCCGGTCTGTGGTTGGAATGGCCTGATGCAGCCAGAGTCATTTCGCACTCGATCTCCTGCATAAACTAAAAGGTGACTGCACAGGATCTGTTTTGTGCAGTAAGAAATTAGAAAGATGAATCAGTACCAGTTGGTATGAAGGTTCCGAGATGTGATGCCTCAGGTCAGAAACTATGGACCAGTTCTGCGTATGTTTACTACCAGAAAAACTCTCTTTTCTATTGTACCACAGTAAGTGTTATATACTTACTTCCTCCTGATAAAGACCTTGTGAAATTATACGTAAAGTATAGTTTAAAAGACAAAAAATAGTCTGGAAAAAACTTGCCATTTCCATTATATACTAACCTTCTGAAAAAGCAACTCAGGACTAAGACATCTCTTATCAATCACTTTAGTAGAAATTAATTTAATTTATATTCTAAGGTTGCATTTCCTGTTACAGATTGAGGGCGGGGAAGGACAGACTTTTTAGACTATCTATTTATATAAAAGATTATTATTATTTAAAGGATCAGTCCAGTAATTTTTTGGTCTTATCTTTCAGCACGGAGTTCAGTGGTGCTGCTCCTATTGGTGCCTTTTGCCAAAAACATTAAGGATTGAGGGATTAAATGCACAGTAAACTGCAAACAAACACCAAACAGCTTTTCAAACATCAGTATATTGGCTTGAGTGGTCTAACAGTGGCTTGAGCTTTGTCTCCATCTAATTTGACCTTCAGTTTAGTTTGATCTCTCAGACAAGAAAGTCTAGACATTGACCTTGACTGAACTGAACAAACATTTTCCCTTTTCCATGTTGTTCTAAATAATTTGAAGCACAAGATCACAAATACAGCTTACACCATAACATTACTCTAACAGTAACACTGTTCACAAGAAATTTTGACTGCAGAAACATAAATGACAGTATTTGACAGGAAAATGCCAAAACCATGAGCATAATACATCACAAATTGATATATGCGTATTGCTAGATTTCTCAGAAATAAAAACGTTCTTTAAAAAGGCAAAGAAATAGAACTATTAGCACCCTCAAGCCAATGCTCCTACCACTGTTAGTCTCTGTGACCTAACAAGAGAAAGTGCCTCCTCTGTTTTCTCATGCAGCTCTTTGACTTTTAGTACAAAATATTAAAAATTAAAATACAGTTCAATTAGAGGAAAACATCACAAGTGATGGTCATGTGTTAATTTTCCCCAAGCTACATAAACAGTTAAAATCTGATAACACAGAAACACAATTGTTTTATCTTTCATTATCCACATGAAAAAATAAGCACATTGAGAATTAAAAGATTATTATTTTCATATAAGCATTGTCTTAGCAGGAATTTTTTTAAAATAAGCAGAATAAAAATTCAAACAGATTATCTGGATCAAAACTTGGGCTTTTTTTTAATATGCCGAACTTGTCTTAACAATTGGAAAAAAATACTTCTGTGAGTTTTTGGATGTTGCCAGGACAGTAAGAAACCTCAGCTAAAAAAGTTTTCCTCTCAAAACGAGTTAAAGCTCAGACCTTACAGCCGTTTTTTTGAATACCATACAATCTATATCAGTGTAATATATGAATAGTTCTTATTTATTACTCAGCGACTGAAACATCTCAGCATATGGGCCAAGCTAAATTAATCATCAACCTGGTTACTGATTTGTCCATGCACAGGAAAATGATGCCCAAATACACTGGTTTATATATTTTAAAACTTCACAATGCAAAAAAAGCCACCTATATTTAGCTTGTCACCCCCCTGTAAAAATCCACTTTACCTTGCACTTGCATAAGCCCGTAGAAAAATACCTGTCATCGTTCCATAAGGTGGAAATTCACCAGTTTCTCAAATCAGTATGATTTTAATGATAATTCAAACATCTTGAAGAAAGAATCACCTCTCTAAATTGTTCTGAAGTTTGAGGAAAAACTTTGAGACTGCACAACCAAGGTTAGCTATTAAACTTGCATAAAGTAACCATATTAACAGGTGATATTACTTTATCATTAACTCTGCACTTAACAAACAAAGACTACTTTTTAAAATACATCAGATTTTAAGCAGCCTTCCATAAAGTGCTCTATGAGGACGTTAGATAACTACACATACTTATTGACAGCTTGCATTCCGTGCTGTTTCAGTCAAGCTTAATTTTCTTAAATTGCTACAATACTACTACTACCTCTAGGCTTTACTTCTCCAGAGTGCATGCATTTTGAATTTCTTTTATCTTATTATCATCTTTTAAGTATACAACTAAATATTATAAACGAAGTACCCTTTAATCTCATGTTCCTGCATTTCAATTCTATTATAATACCTGTTTTCTCCATATAATACAAGGTTTGGTAAATTTAAACAAGTACAAGCCAAACATTGTATAGACAAACATATAAATATTTATGTACACACATACACACACAGAGACAATACATGCCATTACATTTTGAGCCTTTTAAAAGGACAGAACACTTAAGTATGGAAATAAAATTAAAAAAGCAAAGCATAAAAGTCACATACTAAGACATCCGTAGTATTAAATCAGCTGAAATTGCTACAGCTAAATGTTTACACTAGCATTGACAAGCATCCTAACAAGAAGTGTTGAAAAAGGAGTCTGGTTCAGAGATAAGGAGTTAAGAGCTCCATCCGCATCCATTAAACCACCTTATTTAAATTTCAGTTTGAGTGTATGCAAGAAACAAAATAGTATCTTGTCAAACTGCCACTCCATGCAAGGGCTAAGAGGGACTTGGTGTGGTGTTAGCAGAGGTGGGTACATTGTCTCAGCAATGTATGCGATCCATGCCAGCAATCTCTCCCTCCACGGCTATGAATTTATTATTAAGTGCAATTTCGAAGCAGCTCAATCGCAGGGCTATATGTGAACCAGCAAAGCACTTCTATGTTTATTATCTTTGCAAACAACGTAATATTATTGTCCCTTACTGCTTCCTGCAAATCTGCAGCAATGATGCAAAGCAGCCTTTTTTTTTTTTTTTTTTTTTTTTTAATTCCCTTTCAGAATACAAATGCCTGCTTTCTCTTATTTCTGTCAGTTCTTAGCCCAGACGCACTGTGGACAACAGTTTCAGAAAAGGCGATACCTTTCCACATTGTTGGCAAAAACTGAGGGGAAAAAAAAATTGTACTTCAATCCCAGAAGAAAGGGGGAAAAGGAAAAAAAAATAAAATAATAATAAGGAAGCAGCTTAAAGAACAGAGGCAACCGTGAAAAATAAAAGAAATACCAGCGATCGCGGATGAGAATTAACGGGCAGGAGAGCAGCGGCAGCACTTATTGCAGAGGCAGAGAATCCTCTTTCCCTGGAACTCACGCAACTAATGACCTCTCCGCGCGCGGAGGGAAGGGCTGCAGCACATTAAAACACCGTGAAAAATAAAAGAAATACCAGCGATCGCGGCTGAGAATTAACGGGCAGGAGAGCAGCGGCAGCACTTATTGCAGAGGCAGAGAATCCTCTTTCCCTGGAACTCACGCAACTAATGACCTCTCCGCGCGCGGAGGGAAGGGCTGCAGCACGCGCAGCGCCCGCCGCCCGCTCCCGCACACGCGGAGCACAAGTTGTCAACTCCGGGAACGCAATTACCGACGGGGAGGCGAGAGGGGGGCAGGCAGGAGGGAAGGGACCTACATAGACAGACCCGCGGCAGCTCCGGGAGAGCCCTCGGCATGTAGGCGAGTAAGAAGTGAAGAGCATTTACCGGCAGCAGCAGCAGGTTGAGCAGCCCGAGCGCCTCACACCGCCTCCGGGAGACAACTTAGCACCGGTGCGGATTCCTTCACTGACGAGGGACACCCCTTCCCTTCCCTTCGCTCTCCCGTCCCGTCCCTCCCCGAGGAGCGGAGCACTGGAGCAGC